TGCTATGCAGACCACGTAGCCGTGCACCTCGCGGACCGCATGGAGTTTCTCGCCCGCGCAGGGGGCACCAGCTTGGACCGCACGGCTCGGCAGCGCCGTCGGTTTGGCTTCTGGCGCGCGCCTGCTCGTCTCGGCGGCGGCCGCTGCCTCCGCTGGCCGCGCATGGCGTCTCCTCGGCCACTGGCCCGGCCGTCTTCGGGGTCGGCCTGGCCAAGGGCCAGCGCCTCGGCATGGGGTGCGCCTCCTCGCGGCTCCTCCCGCCGCCTCCCGCCGCCCTGAGTTCTCGCACCGGGCCCGTGGCCGCTCGCAGCATGTACGCGATCTTCTCGCCGTCGCTCCTCGTCGCGGCTGCTGCCCCAGAGCCGCGCGACGGCCCTGCCAGCGCCGCCCTCGCGTCGGGCCCTCGCTGCCCTTCGCCCGTCGCCGCTGCTGGCCCCCTGCGCGCCGTCAGGCTGGCCACTCGGCCCAAGCCAGGCCGCCTGGCGCCCGAGGATCGTGATCCCTCTTGGGTCAGCCTCGGGCGCCCCCACTCTCCTCCACGGCATGGGCACGCACGGCTGGCCAACCTCCCCCTCCTCCTCCTCCCCATCCCCCACCTCCTCCTCCTCCTCCTCCTCCTCCTCCTCCTCCTCCTCCTCCTCCTCCTCCTCCTCCTCCCACGGTCCGATGGTACGCGCGGATGTCTTGGATCTGCGCCAGAACCCCCTCCCTGGCGCGAGGAGCGCGCCGGAGGCGCCGCCGGGGGGGAGGACCAGCGCAGACCCAAAAGATCTGGGCGCGGAGCCGCAAGTGTGCGTGTGCGTCCTTGTTTTGTGTTCTTTGGCACACGGCAGCAGATCAGGAGGAGCGTCCGATGAGCCCATCTGGAGTGCATCTGGACCAGAAAGCAAGCGACGCCACTCCACCTACGGTCCCACGAGGCTTGGCGTATACCTACGGTCCCACGAGGCTTGTGCGGTACATAAACGCTGCGGCCCCGGATGGGCCGTAGCCGTAGTGCAACGTGGAGGGCCGCAGGTGGGCTGGTGTCGTTTGTTTGTGGTCGAGCATACCCAAGGCTGTTTCCTTCCCTGAGCGGATTGATGTCTCGTAGGGAGATCGGGGGCCAGGGGCGAGAGATCGCTGGCGAGAGCAGGAGGAGCGCGTCCGCGGCGCGCACCAGGGGGCAGGGGGAGAGGGGGGAAGGCTTCTCGGAAGGAGGCTGCTCCTCTCGAAGGCGCCCGCCTTATGTATCCATGTGAGGCCCGCGCCTTCTGAGAAGAAAGGGCACTTCTAAGCAGGCTTCCCCCCACCGGCTTACCACCCTCTGCTCGCGTGAGGGGCAACGATAGGGGGACTGGCGTAGGGGGGGGCGCATCGACCTGGATACGTCGTCGACAGAACGGCGATGGGCCGCTGATAGCGAGACCGCACCTTCCTGGGGCTATCGGGCCCATATCGGCGATCACTACGTGGTGTGTGTTGTGTGGCGCTTGTCGTGGGTCGTGTGCTGTGTAGTGTGTTGTGTGGTGTGTGTGTGTTGTGGGTCGCGTGTTGTGTGTTGTGTTTTGTTGTGCATTGTCTTATGTGTTGTGTGCTGTGTGCTGTGTGCTGTGTGCTGTGTCCTGTGTGTTGTGTGGTGTGTGTCGAGCGTTGTGTGTTGTGTGTTGTGAGTTGTGCGTGTGCGTGCGCGTGTGCGTGCGTGTGCGTGTGCGTGTGCGTGTGCGTGTGCGTGTGCGTGTGCGTGTGCCTGTGCGTGTGCGTGTGCGTGTGCGTGTGCGTGTGCGTGTGCGTGTGCGTGTGCGTGTGCCTGTGCGTCTGCGTGTGCGTGTGCGTGTGCGTGTGCGTGCTCGTGCTCGTGCGCGTGTGCGTGCGCGTGTGCGTGTGCATGAGCGTTTGCGTGTGCGTGTGCGTGTGCGTGAGCGTGTGCGTATGCGTGTCCGTATGCGTGTGCGTGTGCATGTCCGTGCGCGTGTGCGTATGCGTTTACGTGTGCGTGTGCGTGTGCGTCATCGATCGAAGGCCAGGGGCAACGATAGGGGGAGACCAGCACAGAGGGGAGGATATCATCGACCTAGAATCGGCTGTACATCGCCGATCGATCGGCGGCAAGACCCATATAGCAAAGTCACGCGGTCCTGGGCGGGGTGGGCTGTCAGGCCCCTCTGCGATGAACGGGCCCATTTGGGGTCGATACATCCCCCCTGAGCACATCTCCCCCTTATGTTGCCCCTGGTGGTTTCAGGCCACAAGTCGAGCATGTGATGGCCAATCGGGATCCCCTGGGCACCCCCAGAACGATCTCGGCGCGGCGCAGCTACCGAAGGCATCCCGAGGCTGGAAAACAGCCGAGAGACAACAAAACGCCCGAACCCCCTCCCCTGGCCCAGGCACTTTGAGACTGCATTCTGGCCCGTGACCCCTGCTCCCCCTCCCTCTTTTCTTGTCCTGGTTATCTGGGGTAGGGGAGAGGGGGTGTCCCCAGCCGCACGTCCTCGTCGAAGCGCTTCCGGTTCGTAATCTCGGCCCGCGGGGTGCCGCAGAGGCGCGCGGGGAAGGCAGCGGGAGAGCTGTTGCTGCCTGGTCCTGCTCCTCCCCCGCCTCCTCCTCCTCCTCCTCCTCTTCCTCCTCCTCCTCCTCCTCCTCCTCCTCCTCCTCCTCCTCCTCCTCCTCCTCCTCCTCCTCCTGGTCATCCTCATCCTCTTCCTCCTACTGGTCATCCTCTCCTTCCTCCTCGTAGAAACACCACCACCGACAACACCACCAACAACAACAAGAATCATGTTAAGGCTGTTCGCTCCTATCTGCTCGCGTGTCCGTTAACGCGTATTTTCCAAACCCTCGATATCCGCCCTCTTCGTCTTCGATCGTACCCCTTTTGGGGGGTAGACCTTTCGTCCCTGCAGGCCGGGCCCCGGCAAGCGCCGGGGCGGTCGCGGACAGTTGGCCTGGACAGCGGCAGCGCTGACCGGCGGCAACCAGACCCCAAGAGGGACGGACAGGGGACCGACCACGACCACGACGACGACGACGACGACGAGCGAAAGCGAGAGCGAGAGAGTGAACGACAGCAGGGCCACGAAGGCCACGAAGTAGGCCACAAAGGGCGACAGCGGGGACACGAAGGGAATGCGTATGGGGCCACGAAGAACGCGAACGAGCTGGGGCCACGAAAGGCACATAATGTGGGGCCACAGGAAGCAACAACGGGGCCACTGAGGGTAGCAACTGGGGCACGTAAGACAGCGAGGGGGGCACAAAGGGCGACAGCGGGGCCACGAAGGGCATTCACATCGGGCCACAACGGGCGCGAACGAGCGGGGGCCACGAAGGGCATGCGTAGATTGGGCCGCTAAGGGCAAGGACGGGGCCACTGAGGGCAGCAACGGGGCCACGAAGGGCAGCGAGGGGGCCACGAAGGGCGACAGCGGGGCCACGAAGGGCATGCATATGGGACCACGACGGGCGCGAACGAGCGGGGGCCACGAAGGGCATACATATATGGGGCCACGAAGGTCAGCGAGGGAGCCACGAAGGGCAGCAACGGGGCCACGAAGGGCTGCGAGGGTGCCACGAAGGGCTGCAACGGGGCCATGCAGGGCAGCGAGGGGGCCACGAGGGGCTGGAACGGGGCCACGAAGGGCAGCGAGGGGGCCACGAAGCGCTGCAACGGAGCCACGAAGGACAGCGAGGGGGGCACTCTGCAACGGCGCCATGAAGGGCAGCGAGGGGGCCGCTAAGGGCTGCAACGGGGCCACGAAGGACAGCGAGGGGCCACGAAGCGCTGCAACGGAGCCACGAAGGACAGCGAGGGGGCCACAAAGGGCTGCAATAGGGCCACGAAGGGCATGCATATGGGGCCACGACGGGCGCGAACGAGCGGGCGCCACGAAGGGCATACATATACGGGGCCACACAGGGCAGCGAGGGAGCCACGAAGAGCTGCAACGGGGCCACGAAGGGCACCGAGAGGGCCACGAAGGGCTGCAACGGGGCCACGAAGGGCAGCGCGGGGGCCACGAAGGGCTGCAACGGGGCCACGAAGGGCAGCGAGGGGGCCACGAAGGGTTGCAACGGGGCCGCGAAGGGCTGCGATGGGGCCACGAGGGGCTGCAACGGGGCCATGAAGGGAACCAAAATCCCGATTCCTAAGTAGCCTGTGAGGGAGTCCTAAGCGTGAGCGCGACTCCTGGGTGACTGAGTGTCGGGAGCGCGGCGCTTGAGGTAATTTCTGGAACTTCCAACGCAAGGGCGTTATTCTTAAGCAAATTGCAAGCAAGTCTTCTGCGAGAGCGCCACTCCAGAGCGCCGACAGAGCGATTCCTGAATAAATTTCCAAGCGAGACGCGACTCCTGAATAAAATGCGAGGAAGTCCCGGGCGCGAGCGGGGGTCCTGGCTAAATTGTGAGGAGGTCTCAAGCGGGAACCGTTGTTGTCCTCAAGATGTTCCCTCTTGTTATGTGGTAAAAGAACAGCGCATATATACATCTATATATACAAATATTTATCATACAAATATGTATATGTATACATATGCACATGTCTATATACACATACATATTGGAAATAACAAAAACACAAAAACAACAACAACAACAACAACAACAACAACAACAACAACAACAACAACAACAACATCAACACTAACAACAACAACAACAACAACAACAACAACAACAACAACAAAAACAACAAAAACATCAAAAACAACAACAACAACAACAAAACGGGCGCGAGCGCCGGGAGGGGTACTTCAATCGAACAAAAAACATGTGCAGTGGGCGGGAGGATCAACAATAATCATCATTCTTCCGAAATGAGGGCTCAACAGCAACAGCAACAACAACCATGTTACGACCGTTTTCTCGTACTGGCACGCGTGTCTCGTATTTTGTATACCCCAACCCTCGATGCCCACTCACTTCGTCTCGGGGGGATATCTTCGTTGTCGGCCACTGGCTGAAACGCGAAGAACTCTCAAGCGAGAACACCGTTCGTGAGTTCGGGGGCCTCTCTGGCCAGGGCCTCTCGGAATACATGTTCAGAAGTATCGAAAGGGAAACTTTGTCGCCGTGTCTGGGCCTCCACCAACTTGCCTGAAATACTAGAAAGTCTCGTGCGAAAGCGCCACTCGTGAGTTCGGGGGCCTCTGGCATGCTCCTCTGCGAAAACACCTTGAGGAAGTATCGAACGGGAGCCCTTGTCGTCGTCGTTGGGCCTCCACCAGTGTGACTGACTCACGAGAAAGTCTCGAGCGAGAGCGCCGTTCCTGAGTTCGGGGGCCTTCCTGGCCAGGAGCTCTCGGAGTACATCGTAAGGAAGTGTCGAGCAGGAACCCTTGTCGTCGCGGCCGGACCCCCGCCAACTTGATTGAATTGCGAGGAATCCTCGAGCGAGAGCGCCGCTCCTGAGTTCGGGGGCCTCTCTGGCCAAGGTGTGTCGGGGTAAACTGTGAGGAAATATCGAGCGGGAACCGTTGTCGTCGTTGCCGTCCTCCAAAGGCGCACTTTTATACTCATGCCAACGCTCGAGCGGGAGCCTTGCTTCCAGAGAACAAGTAGCCGGCGTCGAGGCGAGAGCGCGCAGAACCCGTTCCAGAGATCAGCAATAATTATTCTCTGGGAATAAGCACTCAACAGCAACAACAACAAATTAGCCTGGCGAAGACCCCAACCATATGCAGTTGTCAGTACCGCAGGCGGGTTTCATCTTCAGTGGAACTCCCCATGGGACTACGGAACGTGTGAGGGGTGTGTCGAGATGGGTGCCACTGGGGCATTCGGCGAAGCTCCCTATGGGGACATGAAACACGCGCGGGGCGTGCCGACATGGGTGGCGGAAACGCATGTGAGGGCCGCCACTGGGGCCTCCAGTGGAGCTGCCTATGGGTCCCCGAAACATGATGTTTCTGCGGGGGGGGGGCCGGGATGGGTGGCGGAGACGCATGTAAGCGCCGCTACTGGGGCCTTCGGTGGAGCTCCCTATCGGGCCACGAAGCGCGTGAGGGGTGTACTGCATGAAGGGACCGCACCGAACCGAGAACCGAGAACCGTGACCGAACCGGACCGAGGCGGTCCAAAACCAGGAACATAGAAAACCGAACCTGACCGAACCGAATTCATTCAGAACCGAACTGGCGAGAACCGAATCGAACCAGAACCGGAACCGAACCGGAACCGGGCGGCCCCTGAACCGAACCGACGGGAACCGAACTGAACCCTTTTCCCCCCCGGTCTGGACCCCAGGACCCCGATGACCCCCAGGACTCCTGGACCCCGATGACCCCAGAACCTCCCGAAGATTCCCACGACCCCGATGACCCCCAGGACCCCAGGACCCCCCTAGACCCCCGGGACCCCAGGACCCCAGGACCCAAGGACCCAAGGACCCAAGGACCCCCAGGACCGCAGGACCCCAGGACCCAGGACCCCCCTCGGGGCTGCGACCCCCCTGGCGGGTGCGACCCCCCTCGCGGGTGCGACCCCCCTCGGGGGTGCGATCCCCCTCGCGGGTGCGACCCCCTCTCGGGGCTGCGACCCCCCTCGCGGGTGCGACCCCCCTCGGGGCTGCGACCCCCCTCGCGGGTGCGACCCCCCTCGGGGCTGCGACCCCCCTCGGGGCTGCGACCCCCCTCGGGGCTGCGACCCCCCTCGGGGCACGTCGCTGGAGGGCCTCGCGCCTCCACGCCTCCACGTTCCTCCTCCTCCTCCTTCTCCTCCTCGTCGTCCTCCTCCTCCCTCCTCCGCCTCGTTCTCCTCCTCCTCCTCCTCCTCCTCCTCCTCCTCCTCCTCCTCCTCCTCCTCCTCCTCCTCCTCCTCCTCCTCCTCCTCCTCCTCCTCCTCCTCCTCCTCCTCCTCCTCCTCCTCTCCTCCTCCTCCTCCTCCTCCTCCTCCTCCTCCTCCTCCTCCTCCCCCATCCTCCCTCCCTTTTGTTCAAACTGGGTCGTCGCTTACGCAGACGGGGCGCCCAACGTTGCACCTGACCAGTCGGGCCAAACCGAACCGGAGCGGCCACTCGAACCGAACCGAACCGGTCGGACCCAACCGCGCGAAAACCGGAACCGAACCGAACCGGCGGCAGGCCCAAGCCGAACCGGCCGAAACCGGACCGATGCCAAACCGAACCGGCCAAGCAAAACCGACCCGGCTGCAGAACCGGACCGAACCGAACCGAGCCGATCCCTTCATGGTACTGGGATGTGTGGCGGGGACGCATGTGAGCGCCGCCACTGGGGCTTTCGGTGCAGCTCCCTATGGGGCCACGAAACGTGTGAGGGGTGTGCCGAATTTCTTGCGGGTGGTGACGCATGCGGGCGGTGCCAGTGGGGCCTTCGGTGGAGCTCCCTATGGGGCCACGAAACCTGTTGTTGTGAGGGGCGTGCCGGGATGGGTGGCGGGGACGCATGTGAGCGCGGCCGCTGGGGCCTTCGGTGGAGCTCCCTATGGGGCCACGAACGTGTGAGGGGTGTGCCGGATTGGGTGTGCGGGACGCATGCGCATGTGAGCGCCGCCACTGGGGCC